TGATTAAAAAAAAAATAATTTCATATGGGTTTCTCAACAAAAGCAATTTGTGCATTTCTACTGCAGGAAAACATTTTGAAACAATTAGAATTAAACATCTGGAGAAATGATCATATCTTCCAAATTATTAATCAGATAAAAAGTTCAAAGGTACCTTCTAGACCTATGCATGGAGGATTGTTTAAAATATTCCTCGCAGTCCTTTTTAATATTTATCCTTTTCATGTTTAATCTTAATTCTCCTGGGACATAATCTCTCTTCTGAAGCCTGTTTTCTCTAGCTTCTCACTTTCTTATCTAAAGGGATAGCTCACTAAACTTGTAAAGACCATAAGATGCGAATTTTATCAATGTTTTACAATTTTTAAAAAGTGAACGCATTTTTAAAATTCTTAAAAACATTTCATTTTTAAAAAATCACATAAATGTTAATTTGTCTAAATAAAAAATGTGTTTTAGCTTTTCACCTCGTTTTTTTAATCAAAAATCTGCTCAGTCTCTCCTCCAAAGATTTTCCGAAAAAAATTAAATATAATATTAAACGTAATGTAGCTCAATAAAGTAGCCTAAATTGAATTGAATAATAAAGCAATTATTAGAAATAACAACTAAACCCTGGCTTGGGTCTGAGTCCTTGTTTTGTACTAACTATTTTTGTACAGCACTATATGTACAGAATCACAGTTATGAAACCTTGCTGGTTTACAGTAATGATGAATCTAAAATATAGATACTTTTTCTTTGAAAAATCTTTTAAAAAAGACCAAGCACATTTTCGAATATTAAGACTACTTTTGAAGGGTAAGATGTAATTTTAAAGCAAAACTTTTGATTAATTACCCCCAACCTTTAATGGGATGACTACATCCTTGAAATACTTTTTAGAAGAAGATATAATGAAACAATGTTTAGTACAAACTGGGACCGGAAAGGTTGACCCGGCTCGGAAATTCAAATGTACTACGGCTACCCGTGCTGGCAAAAATTGAGAGTTCAGAGTTGAAGGAAGCATTCGCAGTCTCATCCTTTGTGGGTAACCCTCTACAACTGTTGAAGGAAAATGGTCTCAAAGTAAAGATTATATATTGAGCAGAGGGAATAGGAAAGAATATTGCATGTTTGAAGTAAATAGTTGAAATAAATTCTATTTTCTAAACTTACAACTTCAAATTTTAACAGTTGAAATTTGTAACTTTACTTTATAAGATTAAATTTGAACATGAACAATTTTGCTTTCAAATAAATACCTTTTTTAACCATTGCGTATATCTATGGTTTTAGTTTTTGTTACAGTATATTTATGTTTTAATTTGTTTTTAAACAATATTTTGTCAAATCTATAAATTTAGCTTGTCTGGGTGCTTCTTTATTTGTTTGTTTGTTTGTATCCAATAAACGTCAAAACGGCTGAACCGGTCGGGCGCAAATCTTGTATGGGACCTCATGTGACCCTTGGGAAGGTTTATGATCAACATTTCGAAAATACACAATTTTTTTGATGCTCAGAGATAAAGCCACAATCAAAAGCCTAGTATTATTAGAATTTATTTATTTTGGCAGAATTTTACAAAAATGTGAAAAATACAATCTTTCAAGTTTACTGTGCGGGTTGCCGGTTATAACAGAGGGAGAATTATTACAATTGATTTATATATTTCATGCTTCAACGTTTGATTACATTTTGCAATATTATGTGCATTGTTTAAACACAGGGGGGATGCATAAAATGGGGGGAAAAAGTTTTTATCTAAATATGTAGTATATGCATGTACTGAAAAAAAAACACAGTCAAGACTCAAGATATGAAATGGATAAAAAAAAACTTAAAATCTAATTGACATTACAAGAAAAATCAAACAGTGCCTTTTAAATTAAATAAATATTATAAATAACATTTTTTTTGAGAAAATAGACTTGAATTGTGTCTGAATTAGAACAAATAAATTACCGGGAGTCAACTAAGGAATTGAGTTTTTGCCACAAACTCTGTTATTATAACCCATTTATCTTTGTGACCCGATGTTGTAGATATCTTATATATTTAAAAGTAAAACTATGATTCTGTTTGATCAAATAGTTGTACTTTGAAATATCACAGGTTTACACAGGGAACAGGAATAAAGGGAAACGAAATGGCGTTGGTCCGGCAAGAGAAAGCCAGTCGCACTGCTTTGCAGACCAGTACAGTAAACTGACACACACTCTACTGGTACAGACACACAACATGACTACAGTACAGTCAAGGAAATTGTAGAACAATGTCGTCGATTATAATTAAATTTGAATAACGAGTAGTTTATTGTAAACTTTAATAAAATTATATTCTTTGCATGAAAATTTGGCTTTATAGTGTTGACTTAAATATGTAAATAATATATTACATGTATATTAAACATATGTTTAAGTAAACAATTAACAATAAACAAATGTACTCTCCTAGACTGTACAAATCCCGAGATTCTTACGTACTGTATAAACCTACAGTACAAACCTTTGGTACAGTAAACTGACACACACTCTTTTGGTACAGACACACACACATGACGTTTCCGCCCCCTGGGTTTACACTATTGGGTTGCAAAGATATAGGGATTAGAACATTTGAATTTGTGGCTAAAAATTCCTTTTGATTGAATTCGATCTTTAGCTTTGTTTCTCTAATTCTGTTTTGGTTTTTCCCCTACCAACATCAATAGACCTCCCTCCAATAATAATCCTCCCACAATGCCCCCACACTCCCCCCCCCCCTCCATCAGGACTTATACATATTTTCTATTTCCTGCCAATAATAAGGAAACCTGGAGATATAACAGAACTGTTGAGTAGGGTTTCAACCTTCAAAATATCCGGACAATTTCTTTCAAATAATTTCTATAAATCAATCGAAAAGTTTCACTTTAAGAACTTAAAAAAATATTTTCGACAGTTTAGCGAATTTTCAAATTCAATTTTTACAAATATTTATGATAAGCTTAATTTTTTCATTTTCGATTTTATCCTCGAAGCATAAATTGATTTGTAATTTCTTTTGTAATAGTTTCGCGATATGAATTGTGTAGAAAATATTGTTGGAAACCCTACAATGTAGCTGGAGGAGATTAAATACAAGATATGTCATCAACAGGTTCTAGTCTTTACAGAGATATTTGGATACTTTTGTAGACTCTAGCATACTTTCCTAGATTCCTGGATACTTTTCTAAAATCCTGGATACTTTCTTAGATTCCCGGATACTTTTATAGATTCCTGATACTTTCTTGATTCCTGGACATTTCTCTATATTCCTGTAAACTTCTCTAGATTCCTGGATACTTTTTTACATTCATTAATACATTTCTAGATTCCTGGATTCTTTTCAAGATACCTGGATACTATCCTAGATTCCTGGATTCTTTTCAAGATACCTGGATACCATCCTAGATTCCTGGATACTATCCTAGATACCTGGATACTATCCTAGATTCCTGGATACTTTTCTAGTTTTCTGGATACTTTTATAGATTCCTGGATACTTTCCTAGATTCCAGGATACTTTGCTAGATTCCTGGATACTTTCCTTGATTCCCGGATTCCTTCCTAGATTCCCGGATGCTTTTAAAGATTCCCGAATACTTTTCAGATTCCTGGGTACGTTCCTAGATTCTCGGATGCTTTTCTAGATTCCTGGATCCTGGATACTTTTCTAGATTCCTGGATCCTGGATACTTTTCTAGATTCCTGGATCCTGGATACCTTTCTAGATTCCTGGATCCAGGATACTTTTCTAGATTCCTGGATCCTGGATACTTTTCATGATTCCTGGATATTTTCTAGTTTACTGGATACTTCTCTAGATTCTCGGATACTTTTCTAGATTTTTGGATACTTTTGTTGATTCCAAGACAGTCTTATATTTTATACTTCGACAGTTTTCTAAATTTATTTTTATGAACCTCTTATAGTTAAATATTATAGATCTAGGGTGCCCAAAAAAATTCATATTTAATACTAACTAATGTATATGGAAAGGGTACAAAATGCAAAATACAGCAAAACACTCAATGCAAAAAGCGCATCAAAAGCAAACTTTGAGAATTAAAAACATCCAAACCTCTTTTTCTGGCAAACACAATGAACCCATAACTCCTGAATAGCTTTCCGACCATCCTGGACCTACTTGTGTTTTTTTTCTGAGGCTGAATTTTATAAATTTGAACCGTGTCGCTGAACACCCTAATCACCGGTTCAAATTGCGCACTGGCTCGAATCTTGAAAATACTGTTAAAAATTTCAAGTTGATCATGAGTCCTCAAGTCGTCTTCCTTTTCCGCAATTTCATGGGTCCTCTGTAATAATGTTTGTGTTGAACAGTGAGAACACGAAAATTGTGAAAAAGGAAGACGAAAATAAATCAATATTTTAAGTTAATGTTTTTACAAAGAAAATAGTTTTATTAAAAGCCTAATCATTGATTTTTGAAGTGAAATGGCCTGTAAAAATTTGGTTTAATAAGTATTGACGCTTGATTTTTATTACTTCCTAGGACTAGTAATTTATTTCTTGTTTTTCATGAAATATTATTATTCTTAGAATTTGCATTTCCGCAATAACAATAGAATAGTTCTATAGTTCTATAGAACAGGAAATCTGAATTAATTTAGACAGGTGTCATTTATTTTAATAAACTTTAATCAAGGGTTTACAAAACACAGATGTACATATTTACAATAATTTTTTTAGGTTTAAAATCAAATAAAGACTTATTCTCAAAAGTATTGTTAGTTACACTACGACAGGAGTATTTGAAAAAATATCTTTAATTAATTCTGAGGTAATTTAGAAAACACACAGTAAAGTAATACAAACATACAGCTTAAACTGTAAACAATTTCTGTCCTCTTTTTACTTCAGTTGTCCTCGTATATATCAATACAAGGATGCCGTGATCTGATTTTAATTTAGATTTTTTATTCTAAAAAGTTTCTCTTTGTTAACTTAAACTTAAAAATATAAATTTGCTGTTTTAAAAAGTTTGATAGGAATCAAAACTTAAATAGAAAAGTCGTCTTTGTTGTATTGATATAAACGCCAACTACTGTATTGAAGATAACAATATGAAAAGAAAAGACTCAAAGTTGTTTTGAATCCTGTGTGATTTAATTAATTATAAAAATATAACAGTTGTAACAATTTATAAGTTACATTAACATTTAAAAAAAAATATTTTTATGTAAAAAATTGTATCAAGCATCAAATAATGTGCTTTTTAATGTCAATTATTTTTGAATGTTTAACTTTCATACGGTTTTTAACTTTTAAAATATTTTTAGTTTAATACAAGAATGAAGCTGTTTGGGTTTTTGTACTAATTACTTTTTAATTCCGCGAATAATAATTTCATATAAAAGCTGTAAATGTCTGAAACATATTATTTGCGTTGAAATAAAAGTAATTTATATAAAATAAAATATGAAACTGAACAAAGATAAAGCAGTTAGACTCATGAGGGTTTCTGCTGCTGACGTCACTTCCATGATTTCTACTGTTTCTGGTTTGACCACGTGGAGAGTTACAGTAGCTTCCGGTAGAGCAGCTGGTTGACACGTGTAGTTACCAGCGTCAACCAGATCAACATCTCTTAGAGTAAGCCTTTTAGATAGATCATATAAGAAATGTTTAAATAGACAAAAACTCAAAAAGCGTAATTTCAAAAGACACTTCATGCAAAGATGGCAAAGCCTGCTTCAAAATGGTATCCTAAAAATTTGTCTGATCAAGTATGAATTAGTTATCAAGGTTTATAAATCAGAAATAAGGTTTTGTTTCCATTGTGGGTTTTAAAGAAAACAGCAATATCTTCCATTTTATTGATCAGATAAAGGTTTCAAGGGTACTGTTGTGAATCAGGCATTACGACCTTAAAATGCAGGTGCACTTGACTTTTTACTCTCAGTCTAAAAATGATTAAAATCAAACATTTATCCCAGTTTGATTTTGAAAAGATTTTAGTTTTACTCTTGTAATTTTCTATGTCTATCTTCCTGCTGGTCGATACAGTGAGGGAGTGTGAGAGAGACACATCTGCTCCGGTAAAATCGATGAGCATCTTATTGTTGAAGAACCAGGTGACGTAGACCGGGGGATCCACCGTCTGGGAGATGATGCACTTCAGGTGAACCACTGATCGAGCTTTGACATGAATATCAGGACCTCCCTGGATTGTCACCTGAAAACATCAAAATCTCTAGTAAACCCTAAATTAAAGATGGCCACGTACCGAAGAATTTGTATAATGTTGTTTTCCATACTTATTGCTTATTTATGATCAAATGTCGCGGATGTTCTAGGCGCTTAAATAAATCAAATATGTATTTTAAAAACAAATCAGCGTTCTGTTTAATGAAGCTGTTGGAAAACTGCTCTTCGTAATATACTTTTTTATAAACTTTAACTCTCAACACAGACATTTTTTTAAAATTACATATATCCCTGTGAAACTGCAATCTGAAACTAGCTATTGACGGATAAGAAAAATACAGCTTTTTTAATTTTTTTTTTTTTACATGACCTTTAGTGGCATTTATCCATAAATGACATTTTAGACGACATTATAAAAATTCTTCCGGTGTCTTATTTAATATGAGTTTTACTGTATTTGGAGGGATTTAAGAGGTTTTAGTTTTTTGCAAGTGTTTTTAAAATAAATTTTTCCTTTGAATTAATTCTTTTTAAGTTTAATTAAGAAGTTTTTAAATGCTTACTTAAATACTTCTATGAAAGAACTGTAGTCGAATTTCAAGTGAATTGCATGCTTAATTTGATACAATTTCAATCGGAGTAGAGGTTTTTTATTTTAAAATAACCATTTTGATATTTTTTTTTTCTTCTGTGCTATCTATATCATATATAATAAAACAAGACATTCGTATATATATATATATATATGTATATATATATATATATACGGCCAAACGGCTAGACAGATTGGGCTGAAATTTTTTATGGACACTCAGGGGTGGCCGATGAGTGTTATAGACTATACAAAATTCGAATTTTTTTTTCAACTTAAAAAAAAAATTTTAACGGGCATCGCCGGGCTCTTCACAGTAGTAAATAAAACTGCAACTTTGCAAGTCAATAAATCACAATTAAAATTGCGGCCAAACATTTTATTTATTTACAGTTTTTGAAGTCAAAGACAGCAGTAAAGTTGTTCCTCTATTTTAATGTTTCGTGGACACCATTTATCTTTTTTAGTAAGGATCTATGTCAAACAAAATTGCCGCTTTGGTGATTGTAACTTTAACCAGGTGCAGCCTAAAGTCAGGCCATGTCTATACCTACTTGTACCAGCTAGCCCTGCCTACTGTGGCTGGTGTACAGGGCGAGGCAGTACTAACTTGGACCGTGTGCTGGGCGAGGCAGTACAAACTAGGACTGTGTACTGGGCGAGGCAGTACAAACTAGGACCGTGTACTGGGCGAGGCAGGACAAACTAGGACCATATACTGGGCGTTGCAGTACAAACTAGGACCGTGTACTGGGCGAGGCAATACAAACTAAGACCGTGTACTAGGCGAGGCAGTACACTACAAACTAGGAACGCAAAGGTTGGTTCAGCTCAGATTCAAGTGTACAAAAGTTTAGTGTGATGTACCTGTGGGTGAATAACAACCAGTTCAGTTATCCTACTCAGTTTCTCCTCAGCGCTAACCTGAAAATAATGATTAAAAATTTTTTTTTTCGAAACATAGATTTTAAGAATTTATTTCTGTGGGAAAATTGGAACCTGTTTTGCTAGGATTCCAAGTCAAATTAACAACCATTCAGAAAAAGCCATTTCAAGGGAAAAACAATTTTGCTTCATATTAGACTGAATTAATGAAACACTCAATTTAATCCAAACAATTTATTTGTAAAATGCAAAGTCTTAAAGAGAGTGTTTGCGAAAAATTAAAGGGTTATAGGCTAATCCCTTGCTGAATTTGATACCGATCACTACTAGTTTTACTTCTATCTGTTGTGTGGAGAAAATGGTTGAAAACGACTCATAAGGAATGGTTGTCCTACGCTCTTCGGTATAAGACTTTTTCTCCTAGGTAAAACAATAGTGTATTTCAATTAGCGGATCTAATTATTTAATTCATTTTCAGTACGTTTTTTTCGAAAATAAAATTTTGATAAATTTAAATAGATTATAAAGTTGGTGTAAGCCCCAACTAGATTGGCTTTTTTCATTCTGTTCGTTTGTTTTTTATGAACAACCCAATTCGTTAGTTTTGTTTCAATCGTTAAGTATTTTTTTTTTATTTCGTTTAAACTTTTAAAAACGATGTTTTTGGTTTACCGTCAGTTTTTAAAAAACGATCGTTTTTTCCATTCTTTAAACGATCCAAGATGTTTGTCCATCGTTCACGAATAATTTTGTTCATTCTCAAAAGCAATGTCTATCTGTAGCCCCAACGGCCATGTTTGACAAGGTCAGTATAGCCTATTGAGAAACTAATAAAGAAGATAATTAAAACTTCTCCCACTGCACTGGGCCAATTCTATTAAAGTTATGAAAGGGGAATATTCTGTAGAATTGATTCAAACCAAAAGATATTAAAAAGGAACCATCAGTAATATTTCAAGTGATCCTACAGGGTTACCCACAAAGGACGAGACTTCAGAGACGATTATGCGGAATTTATTTAGTCCGTTTTCTTGCAATCAGGGTTCCTTGTAGTAGGCCAAAACTGGTTGATTTCTGTGCTTGGCCATTTAGTTCACCATCAAAATACACTTTTGAATACAGAAACTAAAAATCAAGCTTCAAATAGTCATATTTTTGGGGTTTTGGATCGTCTTCACAGACTCATCCTTTGTGGGTAACCTTTACAATTCCAGAATGCCCAATTATCAACGGTACCCTAAAAACGTTTGTAAATACAACAAAAGATATTTTTGTTTTTTTTCTAGCATGTTAACAATAAATTTTTCACATTTTTTAATAATTTCTGTTACAAGTAATTCAATTAAAAGCCAAAATTGAAAATTACCAATTTTTTAAAGATCACGGATCACTAACAGAACTGTCACAATTGATTGGTGTACCCGTACTCGTAGCCCATTAATTTAACTAAGTGTGAACGAGTGGATTAAAAAAAATTAATAATGATATGGCCAAGATTTACGTAGAACTAAAGTTAAGTGCACCTAAGATCAAAACATTTATGTATGTTTTTGATCATTGAGATTATTCAGTTGAGAAAAAAAATAATTTATATCTGATATGTGACCAGATAAATGTATTTTCTCATAATTGTGCGTAAAAATTTAAACTAGAGGAGCTACAAGGTCACAAAGTTGTACCAGTAGTTTTGCATACACTTGACCTTATACTCCTGGCTCTTTTTCTGTGCATTGTCTACCAAAACGAATCCTCGTATATTCTGTTGTATCTTTAAGATACAAAGCGAATCCTCATATATTCTGTTGTATCTTTAAGATACATGCGAATCCTCGTATATTCTGTTGTATCTTTAAGATACAAAGCGAATCCTCGTATATTCTGTTGTATCTTTAATATACAAAGCGAATCCTCGTATATTCTGTTGTATCTTTGAGATACAAAGCGAATCCTCATATATTCTGTTGTATCTTTAAGATACATGCGAATCCTCGTATATTCTGTTGTATCTTTAAGATACAAAGCGAATCCTCGTATATTCTGTTGTATCTTTAATGTACAAAGCGAATCCTCGTATATTCTGTTGTATCTTTGAGATACAAAGCGAATCCTCGTATATTCTGTTGTATCTTTAAGATGCATGCGAATCCTCGTATATTCTGTTGTATCTTTGAGATACAAAGCGAATCCTCGTATATTCTGTTGTATCTTTAAGATACAAAGCGAATATTTGTATATTCTGTTGTATCTTTAAAATACACAAAGCGAATCCTTGTATATTCTGTTGTATCTTTGAGATACAAAGCGAATCCTCGTATATTCTGTTGTATCTTTAAGGTACAAAGCGAATCCTTGTATATTCTGTTGTAACTTTAAGATACAAAGCGGCTCCTCGTATATTCTGTTGTATCTTTAATATACAAAGCGAATCCTCGTATATTCTGTTGTATTTTTGAGATACAAAGCGAATCCTCGTATAGTCTGTTGTATCTTTAAGATGCATGCGAATCCTCGTATATTCTGTTGTATCTTTGAGATACAAAGCGAATCCTCGTATATTCTGTTGTATCTTTAATGATACAACGTGAATCCTCGTATATTCTGTTGTATCTTTAAGATGCATGCGAATCCTCGTATATTCTGTTGTATCTTTGAGATACAAAGCGAATCCTCGTATATTCTGTTGTATCTTTAATGTACAAAGCGAATCCTCGTATATTCTGTTGTATCTTTAAGATACAAAGCGAATCCTTGTATATTCTGTTGTATCTTTAAGGTACAAAGCGAATCCTCATATATTCTAATGTATCTTTAAGATACAAATCGAATCCTCATATATTCATATATTCTGGTTTATCTTTAAGATACAAAGCGAATCCTCGTATATTCGTATATTCAATTGTATCTTTGAGATACAAAGCGAATCATCATATGTTCTGTTGTATCTTTAAGATACAAAGCGAATCCTCGTATATTCTGTTGTATCTTTAAGTTACACAACGCGAATCCTCGTATATTCTGTTGTATCTTTAAGATACACAACGCGAATCCTCGTATATTCTGTTGTATCTTTGAGATACAAAGCAAATCCTCATATATTCTGTTGTATCTTTAAGATACAAAGCGAATCCTCGTATATTCTGTTGTATCTTTAAGATAAAAACCGAATCTTTGTATAATCAGTTGTATCTTTAAGATACACAAAGCGAATCCTCGTATATTCTGTTGTATCTTTAAGATACAACGTGAATCCTCGTATATTCTGTTGTATCTTTGAGATACAAAGCGGCTCCTCGTATATTCTGTTGTATCTTTAAGATACAAAGCGAATCTTTGTATAATCAGTTGTATCTTTAAGATACACAAAGCGAATCCTCGTATATTCTGTTGTATCTTTAAGATACACAACGCGAATCCTCGTATATTCTGTTGTATCTTTAAGATACACAACGCGAATCCTCGTATATTCTGTTGTATCTTTGAGATACAAAGCAAATCCTCATATATTCTGTTGTATCTTTAAGATACAAAGCGAATCCTCGTATATTATGTTGTATCTTTAAGATACAAAGCGAATCCTTGTATATTCTGTTGTATCTTTAAAATACACAAAGCGAATCCTCGTATTTTTCTTGTATCTTTAAGATACAACACGAATATTTGTATATTCTGTTGTATCTTTAAAATACACAAAGCGAATCCTTGTATATTCTGTTGTAACTTTAAGGTACAAAGCGAATCCTCGTATATTCGTATATTCTGTTATATCTTTAAGTACAAAGCGGCTCCTCGTATATTCTGTTGTATCTTTAAGGTACAAAGCGAATCTTTGTATAATCAGTTGTATCTTTAAGATACACAAAGCGAATCCTCGTATATTCTGTAGTATCTTTAAGATACAACGTGAATCCTCGTATATTCTGTTGTATCTTTAAGATACAAAGCGAATCCTCATATATTCTGGTGTATCTTTAAGATACAAAGCGAATCCTCGTATATTCTGTTGTATCTTTAAGATACAAAGCGAATCATCATATATTTTGTTGTATCTTTAAGATACAAAGCGGATCGTCATATATTCTGTTGTGTATTTAAGGTACAAAGCGAATCTTCATATATTCTGGTGTATCTTTAAGATACAAAGCGAATCCTCGTATATTCTGTTGTATCTTTAATGTACAAAGCGAATAATCCTATATTTTGTTGTATCTTTAAGATACAAAGCGAATCCTCGTATATTCTGTTGTTTCTTTAAGATACAAAGCGAATCATGGTATATTTTGTTGTATCTTTAAGATACAAAGCGAATCCTCGTATATTCTGAATTGTATCTTATTTTCTTTTCTCTCTTTATATATACTTTCAAGAAAATGTAAACTCATGTAAGAGAAATACGATACAAATTGACTGACAGTCAACAAACAAAACTTTTATAAAAGAGTCTTCAAGTTGTGTTTCTCTTCCTATGGCAATTCAATTTCCCAACAAAGAGACTGTTTATAAAAATCAGAAGAAATACAGTTTTTAAATTGAAAATTCGAATAAAATTGATTTTTTTTCAATCGGCGGAGGCAGAGGGGTACAAACGCTGTTCTCAAATTTAGTCATAATTATGTAGAAAAAAAGAGAAAACCCTGGGTTTCATGCAAAAGCCACTATGATTATTTAGAATGAAGCCCGTAGCATATCAGGTGGATGCATTGCACGTTCCGATTGAAAAAAAATGTTAAAATTTATACCTGACATTGATATTTTCCTTGATCCTCGTCTTCTACATGATTTATCCCTAAGCTCCAGGTATCAGATAGACCAGTATCAGAGTGCACTGCGAAAAATCTAAAAAAAACAGATATTAAAGGGAAAACTGATTTCATGCGAACCTTTATTTGAGCAGCACTGAAGTTTTACATTCAGTCTCTATTTTAATGTTATGGATTTGAGGTCACAGCCATTTTTACCATATGTTCTGGCATTAAAGAGGTAAATTAATGGAGGCAAGTGATATCAGATCTTGATTTGTGAGAAATTGCCTTTGTTTTATTAATTAAATTCTAAAAGACTTCAAATTTATATCTTTATGAAATACATCTTTTCAATGTTTTATTCTGATCTTTTATAGGGAAACCTTACACTAGGGGAAAACAGGTGCATTTTTAGACTCCCAAATGTGTAGATGTATTATATTTAAAAGAATCAAGTCAAAAGATGTATACTTAAATAATCAATATGTTGTGTTGGTTAATAGATAGTATGTTGGATTCTATTTTGATACATTTTATATAATTAGTTAATGGTTAGGGGTAACCTAGGTATACAACAATAAAAGGTGGAAGAGTACACATTTAGTAACACAAATTTCGGAGAGAGAAATTTCGGTAAGAAATTCTACAGAGAAATTCCAAAGAGACAATCCCGGAGAGACAAAACTAAAGAGAGACAAAACTACAAAGAGACAAAATATAGAGAAACAAAACTACAAAGAGACAAAACTAGAAAGAGACAAAACTAGAAAGAGACAAAACTACAGAGAGACAAAACTACAGAGAGCCAAAACTACAGAGAGAAAAACTACAGAGAGACAAAACTACAGAGAGACAAAACAAGAGAGACAAAACTACAGAGAGACATACTTCAGAGAGACAAAACTACAGAGAGACAAACTACAAAGAGACAAAACTACAGAAAGACAAAACTACAAAGAGACAAAACTACAGAGAGACAAAACTACAGAGAGACAAAACTACAGAAAGACATACTTCAGAGAGACAAAACTACAGAGAGACAAACTACAGAGAGACAAAACTACAAAGAGACAAAACCACAGAGAGACAAACTACAGAGAGACAAAACTACAGAGATTCATACTTCAGAGAGACAAAACTACAGAGAGACAAAACTACAGAGTGATAAAACTACAGAGAGACAAAACTACGGAGAGATAAAACTACAGAGAGACAAAACTAGAGAGACAAAACTACAGAGAGACAAACCACAGAGAGACAGAACTACAGAGCGACACCATTTTTTAACAATTTTCTTTTACAAAAAACTTACTCAAACGTCATGTTTGCCTGGTTACTCATATATTTAACCCTTTTCACGGCTTATTTAGAACGATTTGTAAATATCATTATTTCTTAGATACAGTTTCATTTTGAATTCCTTTCCAGCTGAACCCGGGCATTTTCCCAAGCAAAATTTGTCAAGACACCCCCTCTCTTTCTCAGAAAGAAACTAATCTAATTCTAAAACTAATTTAAACAAGTTTGTGTCGAAACAAATAACACTAAAAGTTCAAAACGTTGTTGAACAAAATATGAAAGTTTAAACCAAAGTTTAATATTGGTGAATTCCTGTATTTTAAGCCGCATACTTGAAAGTGCTTCAGTTTAATATAAGCACCCCGCATAAATATATATAATGATTTTATTCATAGGTATCACAATTTTTCACAAAAGAGAAAATTTGAAAAATATCATGTGACCCTACATTTTAATAATAAGGGCATTTCTGATTAAATAATCTAAACTTTAGAGCTTTGTATGATCAAGTATGAACTAGATATTCTTGTGCACTTTTTACGTTTGAAACAATGGGCACATTATCAGAATTGAATATTTTTCGTTCCACATTATTGATCAGAGACTCGGGTTTGTGAATCTGCATGCCAATTTTAAAATTGAATATAAAATTACAACAGTAGTACGCAACAATTGTATGTCAAGTACAGGGGGTTGATGGTTGTCTAACTGCCAGACAACAGTAGTACCCAACAATTGTATGTCAAGTACAGTGGGTTGATAGTTGTCTAACTACCAGACAACAGTAGTACGCAACAATTGTATGTCAAGTGCAGTGGGTTGATAGTTGTCTAACTGCCAGACAACAGTAGTATCCAACAATTGTATGTCAAGTACAAGGGGTTGATAGTTGTCTAACTACCAGACAACAGTAGTACCCAACAATTGTATGTCAAGTACAGTGGGTTGATAGTTGTCTAACTGCCAGACAACAGTAGTACCCAACAATTGTATGTCAAGTACAGAGGGTTGATAGTTGTCTAACTGCCAGACAACAGTAGTACGCAACAATTGTATGTCAAGTACAGTGGGTTGATAGTTGTCTAACTGCCAGACAACAGTAGTACTCAACAATTGTATGTCAAGTGCAGTGGGTTTATAGTTGTCTAACTGGCAGACAACAGTAGTACCCAACAATTGTATGTCAAGTACAGGGGGTTGATAGTTGTCTAACTACCAGACAACAGTAGTAGGCAACAATTGTATGTCAAGTGCAGTGGGTTGATAGTTGTCTAACTGCCAGACAACAGTAGTACGCAACAATTGTATGTCAAATGCAGTGGGTTGATTGTTGTCTAACTGTCAGACAACAGTAGTACCCAACAATTGTATGTCAAGTGCAGGGGGTTGATAGTTGTCTAACTACCAGACAACAGTAGTACGCAACAATTGTATGTCAAGTGCAGTGGGTTGATAGTTGTCTAACTGCCAACCCACTGCAGTACCCAACCCAGTACCAGACAACAGTAGTACCCAACAATTGTATGTCAAGTACAGGGGGTTGATAGTTGTTTAACTACCAGACAACAGTAGTACGCAACAATTGTATGTCAAGTGCAGTGGGTTGATAGTTGTCTAACTGCCAGACAACAGTAGTACCCATCAATTGTATGTCAAGTACAGTGGGTTGATAGTTGTCTAACTGCCAGCCTATTTCACAGGACTTAAGACTAATTAATAACTAAAGAAGATTCTGGCGGAAGTATAATAATGAAATATACAGTATACACTCTAAGTGGAGTTACTGGCCTATATCACAAGAATCTCCTGAGAAGGAATTATAATTTGGTGTACTGTCCAATTTTACCTTTTATAGTTTGTTTGTGTACTAGCTTGCTATTATTAAAAAATTAACCTGAGTTCACAGTGTTACAAAAACGAACAATTATTTTTTTCTAAATAAAAAAAAATAATTTCACTGTACCTTGAGTCTGAGATAAAGGTCTCCCTGTCCACTGTGAGAATATACCCGTCCCTCTCTCTAATCCAGGATACTGACTTGTTGTGAAGATTGTAGATGGCGCAGCTCAAAAATACCCTTCCTCCCACTTGTCCTGTTGACAAACATAAAACACTGATGCACTGTTTTTTCAAAGGATATGACATGTTTAGATACACGCAAGATTGAAATCAAAACAATATCTAGTTTATTGGGCCGGGATTTAAAATATAAATACACAAATTGTGAACCATATCTAGTTTACTGGGACTGAAAATGTAAATTCATAAATTGTGAACAATATCTAGTTTACTAGGACTTAAAATGTAAATTCACAAATTGTGAACAATATCTAGTTTACTGGGACTGAAAATGTAAATTCATAAATTGTGAACCATATCTAGTTTACTAGGACTTAAAATGTAAATACACAAATTGTGAACCATATCTAGTTTACTGGGACTGAAAATGTAAATTCATAAATTGTGAACAATATCTAGTTTACTGGGACTTAAAATGTAAATTCACAAATTGTGAACAATATCTAGTTTACTGGGACTGAAAATGTAAATTCATAAATTGTGAACAATATCTAGTTTACTGGGATTTAAAATGTAATTTCACAAATTGTGAACAACATCTAGTTTACTGGGACTGAAAATGTAAATTCACAAATTGTGAACAATATCTAGTTTACTGGGACTGAAAATGTAAATACACAAATTGTGAAAAAATATCTAGTTTACTGGGACTGAAAATATAAATTCTCAAATTGTGAACAATATCTAGTTTATTGGGACTGAAAATGTAAATTCACAAATTGTGAAAACTATCTGGTTTTTTAGGACTAAAAATGAAAATTCACAAGCTGTTTTGTCTGGAAAAAGGTTAATTCCGACGTTTCCCTTCTTTTTGCCTCTATTACATAATACCTCTTATCACTTATGAAGAGAATCACAATTGAAATAAATCAAATTTAAAACTGAAAAACAGAGACACCTCAAACATGTTTTCTAAAATTCATTTTTATACTTTTTATCTTTAATATTTGCATGTTAAGACTATCAGTTTAAGGAATTAATGATTCTTTAATATCTTTTTATCATGAAAAACAAAAGTTCGAAAGTAAACCCTAAATGTTCAAGTTTTTTTTGTTACACATAACTGAATAGAACTTTGAGTACATTTCTGGGTTTTTTGTTTGTTAAAGATGTAGATGGAAAATTATCCATTTTCAGATAGTTGAACAAGAAAAACTTTTTAATTTTTGATCATAAAAAGGTCTAAAGATAGGGCTGGGAATCTGGCATGCACTTCTTGACTTTCAGGTAAAAAGAAAATGGACCAAAAGAAAAACATATCTGGATCATCGTGAACCGTGTTTAACCAAACTTTGTTGAGAAATGAAAAGATCTGAAGAAAATCCCTGGATTTAGATTCTTTTATAATCAGATATTGAGTTGTATTGAATCCTAGTCTATCATCAATCACAGAGCTAAACCCCAGCTCCCAGTGTTTAAACCAACCTAGCTGAGCCCAGTGTTTAAACCATTCATGGGCTAAACCCTAACTACCGATGTTAAAACCAAACTTCAGTTTACCCCAAGCTCCAAGTGTTTAAACCAATCAAGAGCTAAACCCCAGGTCCTAGTGTTTAAACCAACCATGAGTTAATCCCCGTCTCCCAGTGTTAAACCAACCCTGAGCTAAACCCCAACTCCCAGTGTTTAAACAAACCCTGAGTTAAACCCCAAATCCCAGTGTTTAACCAAACCCTGAGCTAAACCCCTGCTCCTAGCTAGTGTTTAAACCAACCATCAGTTAATCCCCGGCTCCCATGGTGTTTAAACCAAACATGAGTTAAACCCAGTGTTTAAGCAAACCCTGAGCCAAGTGTTTATATTAACCCTGAGCTATGTTACTAAAAACTATAATATGTTTCAATGCTGAAATCATATAAACTTAAATTTTAAGATAGGAAAGAATCATATTCAATTACTTACAGAGTTGGTTAAAACTTAAAATCTACAGTAAACTTTTATGTTAGTCTGTAGAAAAGGGGGGTCAAAAGATACTTTTGACCCCCCCCCCCCTGTTTACAAAAGCATTTGTGTGTTTTATCCCTGTGAAAACTGAGTTAGCGGTAACATCAAAGAACGGCTCCTGAGTTTTGTCCAACATCTTGAGTTGTGCAGTGGGTGACAGACAGACAGAGAGAAGCACGGTCACAAACACGAGCATCTTGACACACCTGGAATGTTTGAATAACATTACTTTTTGTGCACAATATTTATATTCTTATTCCTTCGGAAGAAATGGAGCTTGGAGATATTTAGTTTTTATTAATAAATGATTATAGTAATCAAATATCACAAATGAAAGAAAAACAAGGTTGTGTACTTTCAATTTTTAAATAAAAAGAGTATAAAATTGACATATATCTGTAATAAACATAGTAATAATCCCCATATCATGGAAACCTGTACCTACCTGTATATATATTAATAACCCTAATTAACATATCGTGTATATATAGTTTCAGTAGAAGTAAATATTTCCATTTACTGATAGCGCTGATTGAAGGATTCATAACTCCAATTGTATAATGAGATAGATAGAAAGATAGATAATACCGTCATATTATTTCTATTGGTTCAGAATAGACAAAAAACACATGACTGAACCCTGATTGGATCAGGCTCTAATGGACTCGGCATACAGTTAATATCTGAACAGACCTATCGGTCAATTACATTTTTAACTGTACCATTAAACTCAAAATATAGTGAGTTGAAAATGAACTCTGCTTGATTACAGTCAGAGTTAGATCTCGCTAGAGAATACAGAGAGAGTTGTATCTGGATTGATACAGACTAAAGTATTATTAGAGTAAGTAAGGCATTTAGTACATACCTATACTTTCTTTCAAACCACTCAGACTTGGCTTTTCAAGGTTGGACTATGCAAAAAAAGAATATCAAAAGAATTTTTTCTAATATTGGCATTTTATAAATATTTTTTTATTTACTTTAGAATGAGCTAATTCAATTCAATATTCTGAATTTGGTCGATAAGATAAAAAAAATACATATATTTGAGAAGATTTTTTGCTACGCTCGATTAGACTAAATGAAAAGGTCATACAAGTAGTTAGCTAACACGGAAAGACGTAATTTTAAAGGGAGTGTTCGCAAAAAATGAAGGAGGGTACAGGCTTACGGCAAAAAATTAGCGCTTTTGATCGCTACTAATCTTACTTCTATCTGTTGCGTCTATTTTCTCATTATAAAATAATTTTGATTTTAAATTTAATTTTCTAATCCGTAATCAATACCTTTAGTATTTTCTTTGTTCACTAAAAATATTAAATCAACATTCAAATCCAATTGGATTAGAGCTGGTGAACTGTGTTTAGTATAAAACATAAAGATAACTGATTTGATTTGAAATAGATGGTCCAGCGTGTTTGGTCCAGCGTGTTTGGTGTTACAAAATAAAACTAAAGTCATAAATAGAAATCTCACCGTGTTCCGTTTTATCCAAGGTTATAATGAAAGGAAAGTTAATTGCAATATCGTTAACTCTGCGTTTATATTGAAACCAGCTTTCTCTGGGCGGAATTTGTAAAAAAGAATAGAAGCATCAGTGTTCGTTTAGTTCCGAGGAGGTTAAAAGTATTACATTTTGATAACTTTAATAATTCACATGATAGTTACCTAGATGACCAGATTATTTCATTCATTTTTTATGTGAAAGATGGATCCCATGTCAGACTTCGACATCCATCTTGTGTTTACATTACCGCCCAGAGACAGTACACTGCACTACAAAAGATGCTTACACCTCTGAAATAATTTTCCTTCCATTATAAACTTGGTTTTATCTAAATCTTTAAAAAATTGAATATTAATTTAATTTCTTTCGTTAGTTTGTCGCGTGTTGTAAAACTTAGTTTTTGAAATAGAGCCCGACATGATCTTTTCCAAACTTTACTTTTTACTTTTCAAACTTTTATACTGTTTTACCCTATTGAATGAGCAAACGTGAAAGTTATCAAAGTTTGGGGACTGGGATAAAAAGCAATTAGTACTTTTTAGTGCTTCCTTCAAATATTATTGTTATTTTCTTGTTGGTTCTTTTGAATTATATAACAGTATATTTGATGTTAGGTACTTTCCCGATGACATTTTCCCAAGTGGTACTTTCCCAAGGGTTAAATCCCAAATGTTCAATTTCCCAAGTCTGTCCTAGCCGTAGCGCTTGGTCCCCAGCATGTTTATCCACAGTGCTCGGCCCCCTCGCCCATCCTAGCCACAGCGCTCGGCCTCATGCATTGCAGCCTGAGTAGGAAGAACCAAACCCTTGGTAAGTTGCCGCTTGGGAAATTTAATATTTGGGAAGTTGCCACTTGGTAAAATTTTTATTGGGAACCTCCCAAAGCTAAAGTAAATTGCACGCACGCTTGAATTTTATATGTTTTCAATAATTACTTCTCTTAATAAAGAGCTATTAAGAAGAATAAAAATATTTTGAAATTCCTAAAAATACATATACTAAGATCAGTTGCCTGACTGCTTTCAAGCAGAGCAGACCTATCCTAGGTGGTCCCAGAATTACATCTGGAGAAGCGCTGAGTTTACTTAAGCATCTTATTTCCTATAGGGGAAGCAAGAATTGTACATGGATTAAAACAAAACTTCATCTTTAGCTTAAGGGCACTGATAGAAGGATCGAGTTTAACCCCCAGTGGGTAAACAAGCCATTTGATCTTAAATATGTATTTCGACATTATAAAAAACTCTTATATATCTGGTATTTATACTGTAGAATCTCCATTTTGTCTAGTTTACTGTAAACATTTCGTTTTGTTTGTAGCTACACTAAAATAAACTAAAGTTTTACCAAAATATTGTTAGAAATTACAAAAAGATTATTAGAAATATACAAATGTTTTTATAGTACTAGCTTAAGAAACCAGAGCATTGTTCATAGTTACTCCCACTTGTGCCACGCCATTATCCTGCGCTTGGTCGCAAATTAAAATTTTAGCTATTTTTCCCTATAAAAAATGACCTACTAGATTTAGAATCTAAAAACCAAACTAAGGTTTTTCCCATGGTTCTCCCGAGTTTCCTTATCAAAAAGCAGAGGGGTTCATGATTTATGATTCGACTTGATTTAAATAAATATAATTTTTTGTAAAATTCTATCAATTCTTTTCTTATTTAAAATGGCTGATATTTGAAAAAAAATATTCTTTATTAAAAAGTTAATTTTTGCAGTAAAATCATCTCTTGCATTTGTAGAAACCTACTTTTTATTAAAAGGGAGTGACCAGCAATGTATGATGGTTGAACTGAATATGTAATATTGTGGACAATTTATTTTAGGATTCATTTGAGACATTTAAAACTATTCTACGATGTATATTCAGAGTTTGATCACAAAGTCGACTTTCAAAATCATCTTTTTGGTTGGATTAGTTTTGAGAATCATTTTTTTTTTAATTATCAAATAAGGACGACAAAAAATGTTAAAGAAATTCTACAGTAAACTAATTAGATGTTTAGGAACATACAAACATATATCAGGACTTTCTAAAGGAATAAAGAATTCCTATGTTGGCATATTTTCCACCAGAACGTGATTAATATTATTAACCTCAGGACAGAGAAGTTTAATCAAATATCTAAAACAGAATATTTAAACATTTCTGTAGAAAAATGTGCTCATTTGCATGAAATATATCCACATAGAATTATAAAGTATTAATATTGATTTGTAAGAATTAGGCTGTATTTCTTTGGAATTTCTAAGAACTCTACTTTTTGTTTGCCTTTTTTTACTAGTAATCAAAAATGTCCTTTCCAAAAAAACGTTTTAGTAACATTAAAATTGCTAACAAAAATGGTTTTTTGTTTCAATGTACAGTAACATCTTGTAATAAATGCAGTTTGAACATACCTGTATAAATTGTACATCGTCTGTAAAATTATATGCGCTTATTCTTAAATGTGCAAAACTTGTAATGCGACTAGAGTAGATACGTACTGTGATTAGCTTGAATGCGATGATATATATCTCCCTAATATTGTGAATAGGCATAAGAACTTACATGAAACAAATAGATATTTGTAAATACATCAGTTAATATAGAAACTCCGCGTTCATTACAGTTTTGAGAGTAATTTGGTTTTAGTTGAAACATATATATGATTTTTAAAGTTTGAGACATTGATAAATTGGTTGCTATTGTCCAGTTGACATACCTAACGTGATCGAGCCAAGTGGTAATAGCGTTGTTAGTTCATGGGATTGTGATGTGTGGATCGTGTCCTGATGTATGAGACATTATTCAACTGATTGCAATTGTTGAGTTGACAGTGGTAGTGGCGTTGATAGTTCATGGGATTGTGATGTGTGGATCGTGTCCTGATGTATGAGACATTGATCAACTGATTGCAATTGTCGAGTTGACATAGCTAATGAGATCCCCTCAGTGGTAGTGGCGTTGATAGTTCACAGGATTGTGATGTGTGGATCATGTCCTGTTTGATATCATAGTGGACGGATTGTACCTGGACTGATTCAGTTGGAGAAGAAGATTTAAGAGTACAGAATTTATCACAATCTGTCAACTTCCTCTATAAATTTGACCTCAGCCATTTGTGATAAAATATTTTAAGGAGATTAAAATGATATTGTTTGAAGAATGTTCAAGCCACTGAAATCTATTTTTTTATAATTTTTTTTCTTCTCAAATATTGAAATATCGATCTTTTATAGCTTAGTTTTAAAAAATGATAATTTAGTCTACAATGGCTATATTTTAATTCACAGTGTTGACAGATATTTTACTTCACAGTGGTGGATATTTTAGTTCGCAATGGCGGATATTTTAGTTACCAGTGGCGGATATTTTTGTTCACAGTGGCAGATATTTTATTTAACAGTGGCGAATTTCTTAGTTTTCTGTGGTGGATATTCAAGTTCACAATGGCGGATATTTTTATTTACAGTGACAGATATTTTATTGGTGGATATTTTAGTTCACAGTGGTGGATATTTTAGTAATGGATATTTTAGTTCACAGTGACAGATATTTTAGTGGTGGATATTTTAGTTCACAGTGGCGGATATTTTAGTTCAAAGTGGAGGATATTATAATTTACAGTGGTGGATATTAAAGTTTACAGTAGGGGGTATTTTAGTTTACAGTGGCGGATATTCTAGTTTACAGTGGAGGATATT